ATCTTCTAGCAGGTTTAGTGTTTCTGTTTTAATATTGATTTTTAATCTATTTCAATTTTAGTACAGTGCATGGTGAGAGATACAGGTCTAGTTTTAATCCCTAGCAAATTAAAATTCAGTTTTTCCAGCACCATTTATTAAAGAGGCTATCTTTGCTCCACTGAGGGTATTTGGCTTCTCTGTCAAAGTTGTGATGGCTAAGGATGTCTGGAGTGGTTTCTGCATCTTCTAATCTGTTCCACTGGTCCTCAGGTCTGTTTCTTTGACAGTACCATGCTGTTTTATCACAGTAGCCTTGTAGTATAGTTTCAAGTTGGGGATTGCGATACCCCTCACCTTGTCTTTGTTACCTAGAATGGCTTTTACTATTCTAGGTGTCTTCTTGCTCCAAAGGAATTTTTGAATTGTTTCCTCTAGTCCTATAAAATATGCTGTTGTAATTTTAATCAGGATTGTACTGAATCTGTCTAGCAGTTTTGGAACTATGGCCATTTTCACTATATTGGTTCTTCCTACCCAAGAACAAGGGATGTCACAACAAGGGATGTGTATTTTCTGATATCCTCTTTGATCTCTTTTTTCAGAGTGCTATAGCTTTCAGAGTAGATGTCTTTTACCTCGTTTGTTAGATTGATTCCTAGATATTTCATTTTTGGGAGTGCCATTGTGAAAGGAGTTGTTTCTCCAGTTCTTCTCAGTGAGTCTGTTGTTCATGTACAAGAGGGCTATTGACAAATATTTTTAAAAGGGAACATCATAAAATACCAAAGTATTTTGCAAAAGATTTATACAAAGTATTTATACAAAAGAATACTTAATAAAATATTTATCCAAAGACCTATTATTTCTATCATAATATCCAGCAAGTATATCATCTTCTAACTGCACACAACTGGAACTCTCAAAGGCCTTTTCTATTCCCAATAGTTGCTAACTCTGTATCACTAAGAGAAGTTGCACTAAATAAATGTACCTGTCATAGATCTGCCTGCTTTTCCTCTGGGATCTTACTATACCTGCAATATGTCATTATTGTAGTCAGGAAGAAACAAACTTTTTTGTTTGGGGCTTTTTTTCTTTTGTTTTCTATTTTTACTAACAATTAAAGAGCAAAAGTATAAGTATTTATTTGCCATTAACTTAATTTTCAACATCATTTATTCGATTCACATATTTTGTTTTATGAGTTCAAAATTTCCCACATTCTAGGATTAAATATTTTAACACCTAAATAAAAATAAAAATAATGAGATTCCTATCTATATAACAGGATTACAATAGGAAATAGGAAGCTGCTGACCTTATCAATAACTATGAAAATTTAATTATACTCCCTAAAAGTCATACAATCAGAAAGACACTCACTAAGTTAAACAGCAAATGACTTTAATGGACTCAAGACACTAGTGTTGTGATCCAAGCTCTAATTTACAAGTGACAGAACTGAGGCATGACAGGTTGTATGACACTAAAGATCACCACACAGTAAAATAACCAGGGTAGGAATGGCACTATTCAGATATTTTATTTCCAATTCCCAATTTGTTCAATTATATCGTCACCTGCCAAATTCACAACTGTGAAACAATGGACTTACCAGGCCAGACTATGAGTTATTCTATACCAGTGAATTTTCCAGGTTCTGGAACTTAACTCTGTAAATGCCTAAACCAAAAGTATTCAAGTTAAGAATATCTCTTCCTTTTGGTAAAAACCTTCCTAAAGATGTAATATAGTTCAGAAGAGTGGGGAGCTCCTCTGGTCCCTGCTCCATAGTAACCCTGCGCAACCAAAAGTCTGCCCAAAACTGTGGGCATGTCAGGAGAGATGGAGTAGGACTTGAGGGAATGTATCACTCAGGCACTGAAGAAATAAACACAGAAAAGGGTATCACAACTCTTATCAAGAAGGAATGTGACGGGCCAGGGAATGAGTTCAGTGGTGCAGCTGCCTGCCTTGCAAGCACAAGGTTCAATCCCTGGTATGAAAAAAAAGAAGGAATGTAACAAGTACAACCACCAGCAAGTACAACGCATTGTGGGGAGGAACTCTGATGGTTATGTGACATACGAAAGCAAACACTCCATCTATTTCTGTCCAGGTTAAGTGGCCATTCTTCTGTTCAAATCTGGTTAAAAGCATGATTAGCCAGCTGTAGTGTGGTGCACCTGTAGTCCCAGAACTCTGAGAGGCTGAGGTGGGAGAATCAAAAGTTTGAACCCAGCCTGGGCAATTAGTGATTTAGTGAAGGTTTCAGGTTCAGTCCCCAGTACCAAAAATAAAACAATCAACCAAAGCAAAAACAAAAAACAACAAAAAAAATCAGAGATATTTACCAAAAAAGAAAATAGCCTTCCTAAAATGAGAAGGCAAAACTCCAGGTTCCTTGGATAGTCCAGTGAAATGTCTCTGACATCCTTAATCTTTGTTTAAATACCAGATCACGTGCTTTATGAATACAGCATTTGTTATGCTACTAGCTTCCTTGTGTTAATGGAAGATTCTGCAGTAAATTCTGCCATCTTACTGTATATATTCAATTCCTACTTTATTGCCAGAAGAATGAAAAAAATTGAGACTTGGTGAAGTGATGGAAGTACAGTTTTAAAATGGCAATGAAAATACTCATTATTTACTTTCAAGACTTCTTGAACATTATTTCTACCAGTTATAGTACAACATGCGCCACACAATGATGTTTGGTCAATGGCATCCTATACAATTAATGAAGCTGAAATATTCCCATCACCTACTGATGCCAGGAGAGTCTTAAAGTATACTGTGGTCAGGCTGCACGTCCAACCTGCTATGCTGCTGGTCATACAAAAGCCTATACAATTATGCGCAACATATGATACTTGATAATGTTAATAAATGACAATACCACCTGGATCTATGCAGGTTCATTTTATGTTTGCACAGTGAGGAAATCACCTAATGATGCATTTATCAGAATGTGTGTACATTCTAAAACAGAGTTAACTTAGATACACAGACCTTTGGCCTCCACATTAAGATGCCCAGGGTAAGCTGGGTTCAGTGGCACACACCTGTAATCCCAGCTTCTTTAGAGGCTGAGGCAGAAGGATCCCAAGTTCAAGGTCACCCCAGGGAACTTAACAAGCCTATAAAATTTCTAATATTTCTGTATTTGTCTTTAAGTCTATTCTGTGTGCATTCATACAAAAGTCCCTTATGATAATATGTTTGCAATAATCACAGGGACTTCAAATGATCCAAAGAAGACTTTTGACACTTTATACCAGAGTTTTTCAAACTTCACTGTACATACACATCAGTTGGAATACTGTGAAAAATGAAGATCTGGATCCAGTAGGTCTGAGGTTGTGCCCAAGTCTCCATTTCTCATCACCTGGTGATGTCAAGTCTATGAGCTGCCCATACTGCACTTTGAGAACCAAGGATCTAGTACATATACGTCGTTTTGTCTTTTTCCTTCTATTTCTAAATTCTCTCATTCTCTTGCTTTTGCCTTTTTTTGTGTTACCTCTTTTTTTTTTGCTTTACATCTGCCAAGAGTAACCACAGTAACTCTTAGTCCTTCAAACTATGGACTCCCATCTATAATTTAAGATATAAAAATTACAGTGTAGCCATGTTTACTGTTACATGCCTGCAATCACAGCACCCAGAAGGCTGAGGCAGAAGGATGCCATGAGTTCAAGACCAGCCTGGAATACAAAACTAGATCCTGTCTCAAAAGACTAAAAATAAATAAATAAATAAATATCACAATGCAGTAGAATCAAAGTACTGCCAGTCATAAACTTTTTCTAGGGCCAGGGATTTAGCTCGGTGGTTCCACTGCCTGCCTCGCAAGCTCAAGGACCAGAGTTCAATCCCCAGTACCAAAAAAAAAAAAAAAAAAATTTTTCTAAATGTGACCAAAAATAATATAATCAACATAGATGACATGAATTTTACAATGTGTTATTATTTTGGCAGATTTCTTAGCAATTAAATATTTTCAAAAATACTTTTAATTTTAGGTTTCTTAGCAGGAAGTCAGAACTTGTTAGCTGTATTAAGATTGTATAACATCACAAGTGAGTGTACTCGCACATGCCTGTAATCCCAACACTCTGGGAAGCTGAGTCAGGAAAACTGCAAGTTCAAGAACAGCCTTGGCTACATAGCAAGACCACCTCATAAAGAAAATTCAATAACATTCCCATGAAGTGAATTGTTAATTATGAAGAGAGCAATGGCACTACTAATCAATACAACCTGTCAAAATTATATATTTTAGTCTATTCTGAAAGTGTAAGAAAATCTACTATCAAAGATTCCTAATTCTCAAGGGATCAGCTTTCTAGTGAACTAATATTAAAATCATATATACCTTACAATCTTATATAAATTTCACTTATGGTTCCTATTAAATGGCTCATACTTCTCTTCGGAATTGCTAGATTTTGGATGAGCCCTTAAATATAATAAATGCTAGCATTCACACAGTAACTGAAATGATCTCGTAAAGAGACTCTCAGAGGTCAATGTGCTTAACTGACAAACAGCAGTCTCAGTTCACTGAAGGAAACCTGAGGCACATCCTGGTTATGCAACCAAGCGAGTATTCAGCAACAGAATCTGAAACCCTTGACATCTTTTTAGATACAAGAACTAATGCTTTACACAAAATGTGCATAAAATAGTTGCTTCTCGGTAACACTTAGAAATATGGTTTACATAATGTTAGTTTCTTGCCAATATAGTTAAAGATACATCTGGAAGTGGAACCCAGGTCTGCAATACGGGTTTTCACACAAGGAAACTGAAGCAGCTAACTCCACTCCATCAAACCAGACAACAGCGCATTCTAGTGGTCAAAGGAGAGCATAATAAAAAATGTCTGGGATTCTGAAGTCAAAACATCTAAAGACCCAGAAGCTGGTGAGAAAATATTATAAGTATTATATGAGCTGTCGTAGAATTAAAAGATCAGGAATAAAATGAAGCTCTAAAATGAAAACTATTACCCAAAAGCTCCAGTCACCACTCCAGTTATGTAAATGTGGTCCCTGTTTTTTAGCTGACACTGTATTACTCTCATCCACAGTTGGCCTAGGATTTTCCTCCAGCTCTTCCTGTAACTCAGTGGCAAGGCTTGAATCTCCTTCATTTATTACCTGAAAACAAGCATCAGACAATTTATTTATTAAGAAATGCCCATTTTAAAAACAAAAGAATATTTAAAACATATAAATTACTTTTTAAAGGAAAATGTGTAAACTTTTAGAGGACAGATATTACTGTTTTTGTTTCTATAGTTCATATATACATGTAACAAATATCTGCCAGCGACTACTGCCTATTAGGTAGTTTAACTGACATTAGAGATACAAAGATGAAAAAAAAATTCTTAGCCTACAAAAGCTCACATCGTACAAATACGATGTAGTGGGTGTGTCAGTGGGTACAATACTTTGGAGAACAATCTGCAATGCCCAGAAGAGTCTAAGGCATATGCTACAGCCCAGCAAATTAATGTGCACATGGAGTGAAGGATGTTTGTAATACTGACAAAAGTGGAAACTGCACTGTCCGTCAACAGAATAAGTAAATACAAACAATGAAGTTAAAAATGAATGAATCTGGGGCAGGGATTTAATTCAGTGGCACCGCGCCTGCCTCGCAAGCACAAGGTCCTGAGTTCGATCCCTCAAACCAAAAAAAAAAGAATAAATCAGATGTCTCATCTGGAAGCACTGGCTTCCAGTCCACATACTACTTAGGGCAATGATTAGACTTTATGCCACTTTTTCCTCTGTTGTAACCAGAACCCTGACCCTCAGGGATCCAGGGAAGAGCACGCATGGCACTTGCAGTGCAGCAAAGGAGAAAGTCGACCCAACTTGAGCTCAGGCTTCTTAAACCTCTGAAGAAACCACAGTGGTGAGAAAGCCTCTAACCCTGGTGATGCTGATTTGAGGCTCTTCTGAGGAAAAAATTTGTAAATATGATTGGGGAGAAAGGACTTCTTTCATGTACATCCAGTAATCTCCCAAAAGAGGAAGAAGAAACAAATCATAATAGGGGAAAAGGAAACAAAGCAGAAGTCCATAATTAGACCTAGTTAGAAGTAGAACATTTATTAAAGTAATTTATACTCCCAAGAGATAAAAGGTTGACTTTTGTGCCTCTGTAACATAGATTCTGAATTAATGTCAGCATCTGCTGGAATACATAAGTTGGCAAATCTTAATGGCTATAATACTAGCACTTAAATTACAGTTATTATACCTATAATATTAAGGGAGTTATTTCACATAAAATAACAAAAGTTAGTTGGGCCCAGTGGTGCACAGCTATAATATCAGCACCTGGGAGGCTAAGGCAAGAGGATCACTAAAAGTTCTAGGTAGTGGTTCCGCCACTGCCTCGCAAGCACAAGGTCCTGAGTTTGATCCCTGGTACCCAATAAATAAATAAATAAACAAATAAATAAAAATAAAAGTTCTAGGTCAGCCTGGGCTATATAGTGGGTGCAAGGCCAGCTTGCACTACACAGAGAGACCCTGTCTCAAACAAACAAAAAATAATAATAAAAGTTGTAAGGCATAATTCACCTTAACCATCAAAACTATTGCCTTGCCTAGGGCGGGGGATTTAGCTCAGTGGTTCCACCGCCTGCCTCGCAAGCACAAGATCCCAAGTTTGATCCCCAGTATCAACAACAACAACAAAAAAAAAACCTATTGCCTTGTCTACATTCTCCATGATCATAATGTATATTGTCCTAGAATGCCCAGTGTAGCCATGGACACTCTGAACAAATAAATAACAAAATTAAATCAAGTCTCTGGAGTTTACAAATTGCCTTTTTAGAAAGTGAGATCCTACCCTCAGAACCACCATCCCCAACCCCCAATTAAAATAACATGGCACAGCATAAAAGGATTATCCCTTCTGCTTTTTAAATAGCCCAATGTGGCCTGACAGACTTGGAGAGAGTGAGTGGTGCCTCAGGATTGGTTTCTGCATCTTTGATGCTACAGGGGCCTAATGGCCCCTATCTCAACACCACTGAAATCACTGTCTATCATAAATATTTCATTGTTATTATTATTAATTATTATTGTTATTATTATTAGGTCATAAATATTTTGTTATTATAGGTTAGGCTACTATATTCTGTTCCTTGCCTCTTTCAACGGCCACACTCTGACTTCACCTCCAGCTGACATATACATTTACCTGGCTACTCACAGAGTGCCTTGACAGCTTTGCAGACTTTACAGTCAAGATCCCCACTGAGGCAAATCTGGGTCTTCCAGCACATCTGCCACAGCAGGGCATGACCTGTTCTCATCACCCAGGCAGACGCCATGTTTCTGGAACAGGTCATCCCTCTCCTGAACCTCTGTCTACCTGAGGAGCAAGTTGGGTTCACCTGAGTGAACAGCACTAGGACTTGAATACATACGGACAGGATCAGGAATAAACAGTACATATGATGGAACTCTTCAGAAAATTGATGCTTTTCATCCCCTGAACAGGATGTCCCTGATAAAGGACCGGACCCAGAGGTCAGCACACCTGGCTGAACTTCAGGAGTCCTCTCAACACTAAATTCTCTGGCCAACAACTGGCTCCATCCTACACTTTTACAAATTTTTAGATCACTGCCTGAGAGTTGTTCCCTTTGAGGTAAAGAACTCTGACACCCTTTTTTTCAAAGATACTCAAGACTATAAGTCAAAATCAAGTATGTGTTCACCTATACCAAAGGCATAATACAAGTCCTCACCAAGACATCCTTAATCTCTTTAGAACTCCAGATACTACCAACAGTAATAAAAATTTACTCATTTCTCAAAATACAATTTCAGCTCTTGAACAGTGTTTTCAATGGAACTTTCATGTTCCTTACTAGTCTAGGCTGAAGGCCTGAAAGAGAGCCACAGATGGCTTTCTTAAATAAATTTAAACAAAATTAAATGAAAGCCCACGATTTAGCTCAGTAGTGCAGTGCCTGCCTCACAACTGCAAGGTCCTGAGTTCAGCCCCTGGTACCACAAAAAAAATCAGGGAAAAAAAAGAACACCCCCCCCATTTCAATCATTCATCATTGAACTGTAATAAGAAGACTGATTCAATTTTTAACCTTTGCTTGTGGACAACTTTTAAATTTCACTCCTCCCTCTTCCTTTTCCAGGCAAGTTGGAAATAAGGCCTGGGTGCTCTTTTCTTTGGTGTGGGTGGGACACTCACATTAAGCAACCCTGTTCGGTTCACAGAAACTCACCCAGGTCCCACTCCCTGATCACAATAAAAACAGCAAAAACCAGTCTCCTATCCTTGCTCCTGACAGGTCATCCTGGTTTTCGCTAGAGACCTCAGTTATGTATGTAAGAGACCACTTCATATCCTCCTGATGTGTGTGTGTGACCATCAGATCTTGGGGGGTCAATTCTGGATTTGTAGGGTGGCTACAACACCTATTAGCTCATTTATTAGCTGTGCAGTTCTTGGAAAAGTCACCTAATTGCTCTAAAGTCAATCTCAACTCTCCAGTTGGGGAAATGATTTTCTCTAATCACGGGATAGTTTACTGAAAACAGGGATCCTGTGTTGCTCACACTTTACCTTGAACAGCTTGTGCCAAGGACATAGTTAAATAAATGACGGACCGGGTTTATGAATATCTATTTGCCTATTTCAAAGTAGTAATCTATAATCAATTAAAATAATAAATTTATTCATTGGTGTGCTTTAACAAATTTTTGAACATCTCTACGTTCGGTAAACTAATACTCCATAATCGTATGGCACTGATTGCAGTTTTCTGAAAGTACATGCATCCACACAACTAATGTAAAACAGACAACCCTGCCGGGCGTGGTGGTGCATGCCTGTAATGCCAGCACTTGGGAGGCTGAGGCAGGAGGTTCGCTGTGAGTTCAAAACCAGCCTGGGCTACATAGTGAGTTCCAGGTCAGACTCAACTACATAGTGAGACCCTGTCTCAAAATACCAAAAAAACAAAACAAAACAAAAAAACAGACAGCCCTGCAACAAAAGGCTTTCACCCAGAAGATTAGCAGCGAGTTTTTCCATTTTATCAAATAAAGTAGTAAACCAAAGGCAAAGTCGTTGAAACTCAAAACTTGGCTGACAGCTCAGGGATGAAACTACCTGGGTCCTTTTATCAAGGGCTCACGGTGAAGGGAATGGGGTAAGGCGGGGAAAAACACAACACCAGGTCGGAATGGCAGCAACGGAGCCGGATCCGGTCTGCCCGGGACTGAGGCATCAGCAGGAGGGCGGCTCTGGAGCAGCTCGGCAGCCCGAGGAGCAGTTTCCTCACCGCCCAGCGGGGAGGCTCGCGGGAAGCGCAGGAAACCGTTTCCGTGGTAACAAAGAGCCGGAGAGAAAGGGAACCGAGAAACCGATTGCCATCATCTGACAAGGTTCAAACAGCAATCGAGAGGGAAACTGACCAGTAAAGCCACCGCTCGAGTGCCCTCTCCGGCGACGCCGCTTACCTGGCGGATAGTGCGAGCGCCCTCCATCGCGGCCACACCGCGCACGCGCCGCCGCGACCCCCACACCCC